AGTTGCAGAGTCTCCGCGTACAGCGGAGTCACGGCCGTCGCAACCCAGCGAAAGTGCCGAGCGGGCCCAGGGCGGAGAGGCTAAGCTGGGTTTGTACGGTGCGTATTGATTCCGGGCCGATCGATCTGGCAAGCAAGTATATGCTGTGTCTGTGTTTTCCGTGTGTAAATATCATACCGGGTACGGATGTGTTCGTGTGTGTGCACGGTCGGTCTGCTGTTGGTATCATAGGCCTGCCGTGCGACCCTCTGCCGTACCTCTGCTGTTGTCTTCCTCTGTTGTGTAGACGAGAGGTGTTTCTGGTTCGATGAGGGTAGTTATTCTAGTTTGACTAACAAACCGCCCGTGATGCTGGCTTCGAGGATCAGACTCGGGACCTCATCGTGGCTCGTACAGCAGTGCGCGTACAGCAGTAGCACAGCCAGAAGTGGTGTGGTCTGCGTAGCACTAGCGTACTGTTGTAGTTGGTCGTCTAGTAGTGACACCGCTCGCCAGGACCACCACCACCACACCTATGGATAAACTCCTATTTTTATTCTATGCTTATGCCCTGCACCTAAGCATCACAACACAGCTAGTTCGTGGATAGTCATGAATGGCGTTTCTCTACGTAATGGTAGCGGGTACAGCAACGAGTATTATTATAGTAGTGCGAACTCGGTACTGTAATACCAACTTCCTGTACCTGTGTACTACGTTCTCCATGTACGCAGTACGAGCTGTCCCAGGTCCATGGCAACGTTGGAACGGAACCGATTGATCTCTCCGCGATAGATTCATAAATAGTGTCGCATGACGGCTGCTGGCTGTGGTTCTACTGATCCTACCAAGCGATACCTGCCGTGTCGATTAGTCTACTTGATGTTTTGTTAAATAACAGGAAATATAAGTTCCGTATCGGAATACAAGCGATGTCTATTTAAAGGTGACATTTACTGACTGCAGGGGAAGCAAATTCAAGGGCTGCCCTCGTTAATGTCTGCCACAACCTTAACCAGACTCCACGGTAAGGCACGGTGATTTTTGTACGGTATCTGGCCGCCACGGTGAATTCCATACGGTGATTGGTAATACATGCACTGCTGACCGGTTTTTTTCATGTTTTTTCTCGAGCGTGTGGTAATTGCACTAACGTGTGCGACACTTTCACCGAGCAGAAGCGTCACACCGTCGGTCAACCAACCAAGTGTTTGCATGACAAGAAGGTAGAAAACAGTAGCCGGAGCAGCCACCTCCAAGAGAACACCGCCGGAATCCTCAATACAAGCGCCCATATCGCTCTGCTTGTGTGCTTTCGTAATTCCGTGTGTTTCGCTTAATACATACATGTGTATGTTGTCGATTGCCAAACCTCATGCAAATCATGGAGAAATGATTCTCTGTTTGGGAATACAACAAAATCGAGGGAAAAAGAAAGTGAACTATCTCAAAACGAGGGAAATGGGATTCGAACCGCTTTCCTGGCCTACCCGCGCTACGTGTGTTAACCCAGCATTCGTACACGGCAATGGCTTGGATGGGAACCGTCGACATCAAGTGTCCGCTTTATCAACGTAACACGACGAACGGAAACTGACGTGCATTTATATCGGAGAAATTACGGAGGACGGGCTTGAAAAACTCGGAAATTCAACGTTGACGGGGCTTCTTAGATTCGGCAGAAAGCGCCGCAATTTCCATCGCTTGAACCCCCCATCCCCGCCTCTCTCCTTCCCTCTGTCTCTCCCTTGTCTCTGTCGCTCTCTGTACCTCTCTGTCTCGCACCCCTCAATTCTCCTTCCCCAATAACCAAAGACAGTCAAAGACTTGACCGTGGCATTCGGCTTCATGACAGAGGCATTCCTCCGATCGAACCAATCTCCAAGCATCGGTGCTCGAGCGATGGGGTTTCCGGGCGGCAGCCAAACCCAAGTCGTGGCCGAGACCTCCGAGACCGGCAGCGGCGACGGCGGCGGCGGCGGAGGTGACGGTGGTGACAGCGGCAGCAGCTCCACCACCATCAGTTACGGCGACACCGCGTCACCAACAGCCACCGCAGGGCGAACGATCCCACTTACCGTACCCTACCGACACGCCCGCATAACGTGGTCGGAGCCGAACAGCAAGAACAACGGCAGCAGCAAACATGGCAGCGGTTGCAGCAGCGGCGGCGGCGGCGGCAGCTGCGCTCGTCGCAGAGGCCAGCTCGACCCGCGCTTCCAGGTTCGGCGCAACCCCGCGCGCCCGAAGCGCGGCCGCGGGATCTTCGCCGTGGAGGCGGTGCCCGCCGGGACCGAGGTACTGGTCGCGAGGCAAGCGGCCGCCTTGCCCCGGGACCGCTACCGGCCGGCCTTCTGCCGGCGCTGCCTGACCCTACTTGACAAGTCCCTGCTCATCAAATGCCGGCGTTGCGAGGACCGTTTCTGCGGGAAGGAGTGCGTGATAGCGGCGGCCGGGGAAGGCACGCACGAGGTGACCTGCGGGATGGTCGAGGGGCTAGGGGAGGAGCAGCTCTCGGAGCTGGGGCGGGGAGACAACGCCGCGGCGACGGAGACGGACATCCTTAGGCTGACGGTAGAGTGCATGTCCAGGAGAGGGGCCGGGCTTAGCGACGAGGAGGAGTGGATCGAGATCGACGATTTGGTTCTTCCGGAAGACGAGGGTGAAGGAGAGGGCAGCGGCGGTGGTACGCTGGAGCCCGACGTGATTCGAGAAGCCCAGGCCAGGCTGAACGACGGGGGGCTGGAGGTGTCCGCGGAGGAGATTCAGACAGTGCATCGCAGGCAAGAGCTTTGTGTGTGAGGGGAGGGCTGGGGGGGGGTGTAATCATAGTCGCGCATGCCGTAGTCGTTAGCCTATTGACCTCGCGGCCTTACAAGGTCGAGACGGAGCACACCGGGTTCTCACCGGACCAGGCTCTCACATCACCAAGCCCGAAGCGCCGTGAGGTATTCGCCGAGCCACAATCAGGAAGCTTCTCGTTTTGACGGGGTTGTGGGAATGGACGCTGCCGTTCTCAAGAATCTCGTGTCCTGGGTGGGCCACTAGGTTCCCTCAAGTGTACCCTTTCTTTCGTTGTCTCTCCTGAGGCGTTTCTTCTTGTCGTCATGGCGGAGTGGGCTTTTGGATGATTGAACGGCTTCGAGATATAACTCGCCGCCGGCTCTTGCTTGACTCGATGGAGTCGTGTTTGTGATGTACATGTGGTGCAGCTTAGGCACTTGCGACTTTGGGGTAAGAAACTGTGGTGAAAGACTGGTGATCTATACGACATATCCTGAGTGCGCGCTTAGCTCGTGTATGCGCGTGTGGAACTCGTCCAGTAGAAAAACTTGAGATGTTACTCGCGAGATTTCGTGTGAAACGGGAGAGAGTAGCACAGCCTTTCCTGGAGGCCGTCGGACGGAAATTGCCCCGCCGCCCCCGCTGTTGACTTGCCTCTTTTACTCGTTCTAAACGGCGAAACGATGTGCCATGGCAGCGCAGATCAACCCACGGGCACAGAAAACAGGCACCAATAACCACGCAGTAGCCACGTCCATCTGCCTCTCTACGTTTGCGGCACATCACCCCTGTCCCACCACTGGTCCTCTAGAAAGGAAAACAACAGGGTGTCGATGGGTGTTGGAGGTGCCTGAAGTACTTTGGGAGCAACCGATGCCTCTGTCTCGGACTTGGTCTTGATTGATCGAACTGCTGTTGGATGGAGCATCTAAGCCAAGGCTTTTCGACTGAGGGAATGAACGCTCCGGTCCTGTTGGCCAGAAAATAGGACGCGCTTCGTGCCACTACCCACCTTTTGTTGTCCTTTTGGTTTGTGCTTATCGTAGAATAGTACACATGTGGAGGGCGCCCCCCTGCGCTCTCACTTCATCCCACCGATCCCAGTGTCCAATGAGCTCACCACCGGACTCCCCCTACCCCTCCTTCTAGGCTCCGCCGCAATTTCCACACCGTGCAGCCGGAACCGCTGGGCAGGCTCCTTCCGCCCACCGTGGTCGGTGTCTTCCCCGCGGCGTCTCTGGTGAACCACTCTTGCGAGCCGAACGCTTGCTTCCACTCGCGCCGCGCGGGCCCCGAGGGGCCGCCGCTGGAGCTGGCCCTAAGGTGCACGACAGACGTCTCCGCGGGGGAGGAGGTCTGCGTGTCTTACTTGGCCCACTGTGCGGATGCGGCGACAAAGGAGGTGGGGGGGCGTACTCTCAGGTTGCTTTGCATGCCTTTAACCGGTTAGACTCCGCGGTCCTCGATATGACGGAGCGTTGTTCTCACGGGACCGATTACCGATGGCCAGTGACTCGTTCATACTGCTGTGCCAAATAAAGGTGGTGGAGTTTTTGAAGTCTGAGTCGTTGCAACGAAACTGCTGTGTTTGCTCCCTCTTTCTTTTGATGCGACGTGGCATGTAGTTGTGACGTTCTCCGGGTTGTTTGTTCGACTGAGGGGAGGCTCCGAGGATCCGTGCCGTAGGTTGTACTGAGGTACCACACGCTCTGGACCGATTTTCGAAGCTTGGGTACCCTGCAGCGACGCTTACTGAAAGAAAAGCAAGCTCTAAAGACATAAGAACAACAACAATATTTGTTCTATTTAAAATAACTCATCCCACACCGATAACAAATAACAAAGTCGATACAAAAAAGAAATGACTAAAATCCAATTTAGTTAGTTTAAAATATTGCAAATTGAACAGTTGCGCTGCCCGAATTGACGGCGTTTGGAACCGCCTCGTCAAGAGCTTTCCGACTACCTCTCATTTGATTGTGGCAGCCTCTTCGTCGTCGAGTATTCGAGTTTTGAAAATAGGTCCAGGGGGTGTGATATCTTGTTCGACCTTCGGTGTGTGCTGGAATGCAGAAAGTGCGGGTCGAGGAAAGGAGCAGCATGAGGAATAGGAGACACAGACGTCGAGTGGTGCGTAGGTAACCACAGCAATATGTCGGCCTCAGTTGGTCGGCCAAAGAAGCAAATAAGCAGCCATTCCACGTGCTTGCGCTATTGTTTGCTCTTCGAGAAGACAACCTGCATATGTGGTCATGCTCGGCAGACGTGCTGTGCTGTGCCAAATCGTCGGTCGGTGCCAAACCCCGGTCGTCTGTGCGCCTGGCCTCGTCCACGACCTCCGCCGCTATAACCAGGGTCGCCGAGAGCTGCTGCAAAACGTGTGGGGCTTCTCGTGCGACTGCCCGCGGTGCGAGGACGACACCAAGCCGGGGGCTTCCTCGGGAGACTGGCGAGTGACCAAGATGCTGCAGAATATTGAGGCCTTGTTGGAAAACGCGCAAAACAGAAGGTGAGCGTGCGAAGATCTCGACGCGTCTTCCGGCAAGAAGTATCTCGGTACGGTACGAATGGTGTTCCCGTCGAGGACCACGTATCCTCTCGTCACGCACGATGATATTCTTTGCGTACACGCTAATCGATCAACGAACCGATCGGGGGCCCGGCCTCAGCACCCTCACACGCACGTACATTTTACGCCTAGCCGTCCCGAAGCCCGCCAACGCTGCCCCATTCCCAAAGCAAACAATATAACAAACCTTGGTGCCCCCCCCCCCCCCCCCCCCCCCCCCCCCCCCCCCCCCCCCCCCCCC